ACACGTAAGAGTGTAGACTTTTTGTTTGTGAAACTTTCCTTAGTGGAAACTGAACAGTTTTCCGGTAATTTTGAAAATTGTGGAAGCATTCCTTTTATTAAAATTAAAATAATAAAGGATTTATTATCTCCTGGCATTTTTTTGCTGACCAGCTTATCTTTCACACCCAGCAGTTAATATAAACAAAACTAATAAATTCAAAACCCACTGTAGTCCGGGAGCACACGAACTTTTTGCTCCAACTCTAGTAATTCTGAGTACGTGTAAGCTGTTTTGTTGAACCGGTTGTCATCAATCAACTATGGATTCCAAACCAAAATTTAGATTTAAATGCTGTGCTAACAAAACTTGTGGAAATTATTGTTGCATTGCGTGCTTCAACTTATTTCACCTCAGCTGCCTTGACAGAGACTTCAAATCTCATGTAAAACTGGAAAACCAGAAAATTTACTGCTCAAAGAAATGCAGGCGACAAATATAAATACTGAGAATGAGAGAGGCGAACTGATGCGCGAACTAGACAAAGTAAAGCAGGAATACCACGACTTTAAATCCCAAATTAATGAACGATTTGAAGTACTGGAAAATACTGTGATTGACAAAGAGCAAGTCATAATAAATCTGCGCGATGAAACTGAACGTTTGAATGCCGATGCTAGGGCAATTCAAATTCAATATACTAAACAGCGCCGACTTACACAGGACTTTAAGGATGAACTGCTGGATTCGGAAAGGAGAATGGTGATGGCGTTGAACGGGAAGCGCGAGGAGGCGGCCGACCTACGCAAAGAAATCTCTGGGCTGAATGACTTTATTGTTTTATTAGAGAGTGATGTACAACTGAAATGTACTACGATTTCTTCTCTACAAGCTGAGTTGAAGGAGCTGGCCCAGTTAAACCGATCCCTGCTGACCTCAATAAGTATCACAGCTCAAAGAAAGGCTTATTGGAGATTTTGCAGGGGTTACTGCGGATCCAGATCTCCTCATGTGTCAAACGTGTAGAATTTCTAATGCGGAAAAGCGTTTGAATGTGCCCACATCGCATTCAGCGATGAACAACACAAATTCAAAACGCAATGCAACTACGGACATATTGTATAACTGTAGAGATCAACAAAAAACAAATGTTCTAATATATGGTGACAGTAGCGCTAAAAACTATTCCTCTCGACTCTCAACCTACCTCGGCGACTCGTCTAAGGTTTATGGATATATTGCTAACGGCGCTACAGCGCATGTCATATCCAAAGGTGTTTTCCCACTGGTAGTAAATTACACAAAAAAAGACTGCGTCATACTGTGTTTAGACTTGGGTCGCACTTTGCCCAACTACTGTCAAATCAGGGATCTTTTTAACTATTGGTAAGAAAACAAATGTGATTTTTTGTATAAAATGTGATTTTGGTAAGTGCTCAGAAAATCAGTATTTTAGGATTATACATTGTACAGGGTCACTTGCTCATAAAATGAATATTTCTGTTCGGTTAATTACTAACGTTTTAACAAATTATAGGTTTCTTCATAATATAAGATCAATGTGTAGACTGTTCCAGTTGTATATTGATAGCGTTGATGCAGCTCGAAAGCCTAAACTAAGATCAGCTCACGCATCTAGTTGCGAAATTTAAAATACAGTTAGGAGTGATGCGATGTTGTCAATTAATAAGCAGTCACACATCTCTGAGGAATCTCACACATTTTTTTAGAGCAAACTCAGTCTGGAATAACCTTACCCTAGTATTGTTCAATATTCAATCTGTTAGATCTAAGGGTGATGAACTGCTGGTATTTTTAGAATCCATAGAGTTTCCATATGTTGTTGTTTTGGTGGAGCACTGGTTAAAGCCTAATGAACTTTTTGATATTTTAAATTATAGTTATATCTGCGTACTTACGCGAGCAATATATTCATGGTGGTACAGTAATCTTGGTTCGAAATAATTTTTTTTTGTAATTTTGAGTTTTTATCTGTTGCTAGGTTTGATCACCTACTAGAAGAAAAAGTTTTCGAATGTTCCATAGTTTTTTGTAAGAAACTTAATACTTATATTTTAGGAATTTATAGGTCTCCTTCAAGTAGTGTAGAATCATTTTTAAATAAGTTAGAATTGTTACTAAATGAAATACCTGTGAATGCTTCTATAGTGTTGACTGGAGACCTTAATATAATTTTTTTAGATAAATGTAACAGATATACCCAGTCTTTGGGGAACCTTTTGCGCTCGTTTAACCTAACGATGCATGTTGATGTGCCAACTCGGTTTTCAGCCTTATCAGCTTCCACTGTTGATTATATCTGCATTAGCTTCAATAACGATTAAGTAAAATGTACAGTGCCTAATGCCGGGTTGTCTGATCATGAGGCCGTATCATGGTCTCTCCCAATTGACACGAGTGAAAAATAAAAACTTAAGACTTGGTAGGCTTTTCACCAGGAGGAATTTTAGAAGATTTGTTTTTTTGTGTGACAGAGTAGACTGGAACACGGCTTTGTCTACTGATAATGTATTGGAAAGCTTTCATTCTGTCATTAATGATAATTTTAATTTGGCATTTCTTCTTGGTAAAATAAAGAAGAAAAAGAGTAGGCCGTGGTATACTAAGGCTCTACGTGTCTCTGGTAAGAACATGCGCTGCCTTCACTATATAAGGAAATTTCAAATAAATAATGCTAATTTCATCAGATACCTCAAGTACCGTAGTATCTATAGGGCTATTATTAAACTTGCCAAGAAGTCCTATTATAGGAATAGAATTTGTAATGCTTCCAATAAATCTAGGGAATCCTGGAAAATTGTCAATGACTTGCGTGGGAAGAGTAAAGTTGTATCAGTTTCTTCTTCATTACAGGCGTACAATCTCGATAATTTTTATTGTTCTATTGCCACCAAATTATCCCAGGGCATTTCAAATAAGATTGATCCTAGGGGATATTTAAGCCATATATCAGTAGCTGAAACTTTCTCTCTTACCCCTACCAATGCTCTTGAGGTTCGCGACATACTTGGCACATTGAACAATAGGAATTCCTATGGTTGGGATGGGCAACCTTTGAGGATGCTTCTTGCTTTGCGGTTCGGGATGCTTTCAGGCCTTGGCTGGGGCAATCAACGACTCCTTTGTTTCTGGCGCATTTCCGGTTTGTCTAAAGAAGACCGTAATCATGCCTCTTTATAAGGGTGGAGACCACGACACTCCTCTAACTTTCGCCCAATTGCATTATTGCCAACCTTGGCTAAAGTGGTGGAGGCAAGGATGGTATCTTTTATTAGAGATCATGACCATATGAGCGCGCAGCAATTTGGATTTCAGTATCAATGACTCCTCTGAGGAGCTTGGTGTTGGTGCTGGTGCTCCCCAGGGCTCGGCATTGGGACCACTGATTTTTCTGATGTATGTAAATGATCTTTCACATCTTCCCATCAGAGGTAAATTTACCATTCTCTGGCACGATTCAGATGCTGAGCAGCTCGGGCCGATTGTGAATGAGGATCTTGTAGAAATTATAAACGCTGGTGCGATGCCAATCTATTGTCTTTCAATGTTTCCAAGGCCAATGTATTAAATTTTAAGTGTGATGTGCATAATATTCTTATGGAAGGCGACCCAATCACGACTCTTAACACAAGCAAGTTCCTGGGATTAACAATAAATAATACTTTGAAGTTTGAGGGCCACATATTTGGTATTCATAATAAAATCTCTTCCGGATGTTATGCTCTCAGAATAATTTCCAAAAATCTGGATCCATCCATTGTCGGGAGATCTTACTTTGCACTGATCGAGTCCCACCTTCGATATGGTATTTGTTTCTGGGGATGTTGTGCTCAATATTATTTTGCAGAAAAGGGCAATAAGGTACCTACATGTGTGGTGCAGGGGTTCGTGATTCCTGTCGGCCATTGTTTGTGAGGCTTGCTATCTTGACTCTCTGTTGTTTGTTTATTTTAGAAACAGTCTGTCTCGTTTGTAAGAAACATGGACACGAGATGTCTGCGGGCGGTCATTATAATATGCGTCAGACTCACACTCTCAGATTGCCTATCCTACATTCAGAAATGGTTCGGAGCTCTATAATTTACGGAGGGAAAAAAATGTTCAACCATCTCCTCTTATGCTTGAGGAGGCAGACATGTTATAAAAGATTTCGCAGACTGATAAAGGAGACATTATCTGCGAAAGCTTATTACCACATTAATGATTTTTTCAATGACAATTTTAATTAAATGCATTATGGTATTTTGTCCTATTTTTGATTTGGTGTTGTTTATGAGGTTGATGTTTTTGCTTGTTTGTTTTTATACTTATTTTTATTTTTAGTTTTATTTTGCTGCCTACTTTGTTATTTGTCATTTTAACTCTAGATTTTCAGGTTTTTATCCATAACTTTGACCTGTGTATTTAGTTTGGTTAGATGTTAAGTATGGCTTTGTCAATAACATAAGTTTAAGGACAATAAAGCTATTTTTCGATTTGATTTGATTTGATATTTTTGGTTTTGTTTTTAGACTTGGTTGGTACTATTACGGCTTTGTGGCACAAAATTTCTCTTGTGCTTCATTTATTGTACTGACTATTGCATCGTTTTATTACTTTCAAGCCTTGCTTTTAATGTCTTTCCGGTAATTTTCATCTTCAGTTTCAGGAACCTCGTGATGTCACAAATGTGCCTATTATTGGAGAGTAGGGCATTTTATTTTGGGAGTTCCTATAGCTTCCGGCCTTTTCGTTGCGGCATGTGAAAACTTAGTGTAGCAACCTGTTGTGTATCTTTGAAATTTCCTATTTTATTTACTCGATGCTCAAGCGTTTGATACTTCAATTTATATTTTGACAATAAGATTTTTGAAAACTTATCAGCAAGTTCATAAAGGTATCTCGGAAAAAATGTCTCGTGATTAATCCTGAAAATAACGTATTTCAAGCCCCTGTAATTTGATGCACCATTTTCTGGAACGTTACACACAGTATACCTAATATTTCAATTTTTGTTTCAGTTCAGAGATTTCTTGAGAACCACCAACAATTTGCCAGAAGAAATTAAAAGTGTTGCAGAACAGGCCATAGAAATAACAGAAGTGAACGTGCGCTGGTTGGATGACCATTTGACCGAGTTGAACGAGTTATTCGGACTGTAGAAACCCGTCAAAAAACCTAGAAAATTCAAATTCAGTTTAAAGTCAACTTGAAACATTATATTAAGATTATTAAAAAATACTAATTTGTACTTAAATAGGTAGTCGCTTCATTTTCTTTGCCTTATTGAAATCTACATTTGATAAATTATGTCACAAAATCAATAAAATGCTGACTGATGATCATGGAGCAGGATTTTTTGCTGTGGAGAATTACATATCAGAGATAAGGAGTCTTATAGAATGAAAGCTACGATTCAACTATTTTTCATTCATATTTGATGACTAATTTGCTGAGAAAAGTGTAAATCTAATCGACACGTTTGATCTTTTTTTTTTATCTGCAGGTCTTGCTTTCCTCAAATTAACCAAATTGTAACTGAGTTGTGAAAGATTTTTTTATAGAAAAAAATCCATCTAATCATTCTACTTATTCTATATTCAATCGATTAAAGAATATTTTATTTAAAGTAATCACATAAGCTTTTCTGTAATAATAATAATAATAATAATTAATCTTTTGAAAGGGTTTTAATTTAATCCCACACTCCGAAAGATCATTTTTTCCCGATAAGATACGAAAAATTTTATAAAATATATTGGCTATTTCTTAAATTGCTTCAGTAGTACCTACCTAGTGGGTAACTTTTGAAATTATTTTTGTTTGAGAGAAAAATGAAGGTAAGTTAAAGTATCAAGCTTTAGATTTTTCTAATTTTCAAATATAAAAAAAGCCTGATCACGATAAATCAATAGAAAATAGTTTAAAATTAAGAAAATGTAATTCCCCCCTTAAAAATGTAATAGTTCAGCAGATAGGTAGGTACATACATAGTGGAAAACATACTGTGGTACCGTACCTACAAATAATAATACTCATATACCTAGACTTGGTTTTGCTTTTGAGGCCACAGAGTAACTATTCGTAAAAATTAATCCCCCTAACCCAAACTAGCCCAAACCTTCCTGATACAAATCATCGTTCTCAGTTATAGGTATCTATTAGTTATTTTATCAAAATTATTAAAGCTTCTCATTACCTACATTTAATTGCCTCAATGAGCAGAATAATAACATAACAAATGGATAGATAAAAAAAAATTGCTAAAAATTATTAAATAAAGTTCCCTCGACTAATCTCCTAATTGATTACAATAATATAATAATTGGTCTTTTTATAATAATATCTAGTCCTTTAATCGCTGAAGATGACACATTTATTGTGTTTATTGATAATTCCAGATTAAATGTTATTTGTAAAATATCGGAGCTACAAAATATAACAATATGGGATCGATTTTCGATTTCCATATGGAAATTTTTCACTCATCGATATGGCCTCAGTGAATTAGTCATAGCTGGCTTATTGGGAACCTCGTTTTGAACCAATTTGCTTTTCCTTCTCGGTCAACTTTCGATTTAAAAAAAAATTGCTCAAGCGCCACTGAAATTTTACATTGATCTATGTATGATGATTCAACTATGCATTTTTCCAATTTTCAGCTCCTTCTGCTCCAGCTTCTCATTACGGCTGTAGCCTTAACAACCCTGGCTACAGCCTACAGGTTACCAACGACAGTCATACCATCACAATACAGAATCCATTTGAATCTTTCCGAAGCAACTTTCACAGCCAACTCGGACGATTACCATGGGCATGTTATAATCAGCCTAAGGGCCAATGGTACTGGGGTGAATCAAATTCAACTTCATGCCGCACATGATTTCATTAATATAACTACAGCGTTCATTAATAGTGTGGAAATTACTAATATTAGTGTTGATAATAGTACTGATATTGTGACATTAGGTTTTAATGGTTTTCTTTCGCAAACTGCTAACTCTACGTTGCATATTTATTTCAATAGCAGGTAAGTGAGAATTGTATAGAGACGTGGAATTTATTGCATTTGAATTTTATAAAAATATTTACCTACGAGCGTGCGGTAAAGTGCACTTTACCGCATAGTGTGCGGTAAAGTTAACTTTACAGCATAGTATGCGGTAAAGTAGAATTGAAGTGTGCGGTAAAGTGCACTTTACCGCATAGTGTGCGGTAAAGTAGAGTTTGATATTTATAATCAAAAATCCTATCTTTTTCAGAAAATGGATTTTTGATCATTTCTAAATATTATCTAATTTCATTAATTATTCTGATTCATTAATTAATTTTATAAATGCCTTTTTTTGAAGATGTAGATGCTCATAGGTAAAATTTTGTACCTAACACATGCGGAAAGTGCCTTTACCGCCCTTAACGGCTTGACCGAACTCCGCTTCGCGTCGTTCGGTCAACTGCCGAAAGTATCACTTTCCGCATTTGTTAGGTGAATAACTATTACAGAGTTTGGGTTTGTTGAGTTAGCTGATGGACAGTCTGTCTTTTTTTTAACACGCTTATATTATTAGCTCCACCTGTATGTTTGTATGTTTGTAAGTTTGTAAGTAACATTGAAAATGTTTATCGCACGGGCACATAGGAATGCGTGCGAACTTTTGGATTCTTCGGAAGTGTATGAACAAGAACCTGGAACAAGCTAAGTGAGCTGAAACCAGTCTGGAAAATGTCTGGATAAATCTGGATGAAGTCTGGAAAAGTCTGGAAATCTCTGGAAACGTCTGGAAATTTCTGGTAAGGGTCGGAAAAATTCTGCCAAAGGTCCCAAAAGACCTGGGGATCATTTTCCAGAATCCGGATCAGTTTGTACAAGTCTGGATAAGGTCTGGATAAAGTCTGTAAAACTCCGAATAGGTCTGAATATTTTCTGTAAAAGTCTGGAAATCTCTGGAAACGTCTGGAAAAGACTTGGAAATATCTGGAAATGGTCGTAAAAATTCTGGAAAAGGCCCCAATAGACCTGGGGATCATTTTCTAGAATCCGGATCAGTCTGAACAAGTTTGGATAAATCTGGATGAAGTCTGGAAAACTCTGGAAAGCTCTTGATATTCTAGTCTATTCTGTAACTTTTAACAAATCGAGATCGAAAACGTTAATAGATAATCGAGAACGGCGAAATCGAGACAAACGTTATCGATTTTGACAAATTTCCTATTCTGAAACTGCAGTCGATAAGTCTTCAAATCGAGATCGCAGTTATCGATTTGAAGGTACCGGCAACGTCGCAAATTGTGAATGACAACCATTGTCAATCATCCCAAATCAAATAAACGTCAACAAATTTGAATTTTAAAATAGATTTTTGAATTACAATAAGTAAAGGAGAGCGCCTAACGAGCAGAGTTCACGAAAAATCCCAGAGGATATATTTTGGGATTGTATTTATCAACATAATTATCCAATTGAAACTAAAATCAACCAAAATGTGCTTGCTTGCATTTAGTTTGAGTATCTTCATATGGTCGTATGGCCCACAAACAAGAAAGTGTCGATTTCTACTATGTCACATAAGTTAGTATAAAGAAAATGATGTTCAGGTACTAAACGTCGATAATACACTGAATTTGGGTCAAAAATATGTGGAGGAATATAATTCGTTTGAGAAGAAGTAAGAAATACCGCCAAGGCAAGCTGACCAGATTGAAGAAGTCATTGACTGTCTTATATAGTTCTTCTTCTTCTTAATTCCTTTCTGTCCACATTTTTCTATTAGAATTTTCTGAAGCCGGCTATGTTCTTTTTTTTCTTTGATTCGCTTTTTCCACCCTTTCTCTGCAAAAAATTCCAATGCATTATCTGAATTATTTGATCTTCCATTTTGGTAGTCTGTAGCCTTGTAATCCTCATAGAAGAAATTTTTTCAACTTCCTCGACTTGGGAAAAACGTAAATTTGGTAACGTCACACACCTAGCAGACATAAAACAAAGAACCGAATTTTCGCGACGAATGTAGTTCATCCATGTTCGAGCCATAGTTCGTTTGTGACGTTATGAGTTTGAACGCTGGCTTGAAGCTGCGTCCATGCTTCCGTCGAACTACGTTCAATATGACGTCATGAGTTTCTTGCGAAAGTGTTTGTGTTCATGAAATCATGGAAGTAGTTCGTCGCGAAAATTTGGTTAAGCACTTGAAATTTCTCTTTTACAGTCTCTGACAGGCAAAATTTAGAAGATCTAACTAGTAACCCCAGGATAATTTCTCAACCAGATCCTTCTTTTGTAACCTCTGCAATAAATATCTCGTTTGATTATACGGTTTTATATGGATTAAGTACCGCATTTTTTTCTCACCTTATTTTCTCTATTTATAGGATCCATACTTCACCTTGTCGATTGCTCAAATGCGATCGAGAGCAGCCATCGACAATCGAAATCCATTTCGATTTTTGTTATCGATTGTCGATAGCTGAAAAAGTTACAGAATACCAAATTTTTCCAAAAATCGATAATTTCGAGAGTTATCGATTCAAGTTTTCGATTGTCGATTCGATTTGAGTTACAGAATAGACCCGATTGTCTGGAAACGTCTGGAATAGGCCTGGAAACTTCTTGAAAGGGTCGGAAAAATTCTGGAAAAGGTACCAAAAGACCTCGGGATCATTTTCTAGAATTCGGAGCAGTCTGTACAGGGTGGTTGATTTTCGATAGTTTGATAGGGTACAGCCAAAATGGCCGAAGATACTGAGAAACTGATATACGCTTCCCGTCCTCTTTTTTAGTGTGTCGTTTGATGGTGTAGTCAGATCTTGGCCGACAAGATTGGTTTGCGAGGTACAGGGTGATTTTCAAAATTAGCTGTTTTTTTATAATCCTCTATAACTTCTTACCCTACGGAGATATTGAAAAAGTGCAAAAAGGAAAAATACGTCTTTTTTTACGTAGAATCCAGTGGCGTACTTAGAAAAAATATGGGGGCTTCATCTTCTGAGATATTCGAAAAAACAAAGATTTTTCAAATGGATTACCCTGTATTTTATTGGTTCGGTAGTTTGAAAAAAAAATTGCGAGTTCAACGATATATAACACATGATATTTTGTTTTGGCCTAAATGGTGAAAGCAACAAAAAACACTTTTTTCTACAAACGTCACTAAAAGTGTCATTTTTAACGGATGCTGTCAGTGTCTTAAATGCCATTTTATGACACTGGTGTGAATGTGATTACTTTTAGCACTGAGTGCTAAAATTAATTACTTTTAGTGCCTTTGTAGAAAAAATAGTGTATGATATTCGTGCTAAAAGTGATTTTATTTTGTTCAAAGGGATGGAACACTCCGCCTTCGGCGTTGTGTCCCAAACTTACCTTTTCACAAAATAAAATGTCACTTTTAGCACTTATATCATAAATAACTATTTCAGGGAAAAATTAGAAACAAAAAAAAATCAAATTTCAAGAAATGAAAAATTTTGGAATTTTCTTTCAAAAAATAAAAAAAATCTTTTTCAAAAAATAACTAAAAATCGCAATGCTTCTTTCAGAAAAAAGAGCTGAAATTCAATTTCTTGAAAAATTTTGAAAAAAAATTCCGAATGCTTTTTTGAAGGAAAATGACAAATTTCTAAAATTTTCAAAAAAAAAAAAAATTCTGGAATTTCTTTCGAAAAAAAAAAATTTTAAATAACAAAATTCTGGAATTTTCTGCCAGGAAAAAAAAAATTGAAATTTTATTTCAGAAAAAATTAAAAAAAAAAAAAATGAAGGAAAAATTTCGAAAAAAGAAAAATTTCAGATTTTTTTTTTTGAAATTAATCCGGAAGGAAAATTCCGAAATTTTTCTTTTCCGAAATTTATCCTTCAATAAAGCACCCAAAATTTTTGTTCAAAAATATTCCTGAAATAAAATTCCAAATTTTCTTTTCTTCAATTTGTTCAGAGAGAAAATTCCAATTTTTTTTTCAATTTTTGAAAGAAAATTCCTAAATTTTTCATTTTTTGAAAGAAAATTTGAAAAATTTGTCATTTTTCCTTTAATTTAAAACTCTGGAATTTTCTTTCAAAAAATAAAAAAAATTAGGAATTTTCTTTCAAAAATTGAAAAAAAAATTAGAATTTTCTCTCAGGAAAAATTGAAAAAAAGAAAATAAAAATCTGGAATTTTATTTCAGGAATATGTATTATTGAAAAATTTTTATTTGGATGCTTTTTTGAAGGATAAATTTCGAAAAAGAAAAATTCCGGAATTTGAATCTGAAATTTTTCTTTTTTCGAAATTTTTCTTTTTTTTTAAATTTTTTCCGAAATAAAATTCCAATTTTTTTTTTTTTCCCCTGGAAGAAAATTCCAGAATTTTGTTTTTCCAAAATTTTTTTTTCAAAGGAAATTCCAAAATTTTTTTTAAAGTTTTAGAAATTAATTTGTTATTTTTCCTTCAAAAAAGAAATCAGAATTTTTTTTCAAAATTTTTCCAGAAATTAAATTTCAGCTCTTCTCCCTGAAAGAAACATTGTAATTTTTTTTTTATTTTTTGAATAAGAATTTTTTTTTATTTTTTGAAAAAGAATTTTTTTTTTATTTTTGAAAGAAAATTCCAGAATTTTTCATCTTTTGAAAAAAAAAAATCCAGATTTTTTTTTTGAAATTTGTCATTTTTCCTTCAAAAATGCATATTTTCCAAAAATTAAATCCCAGATTTTTTTTTGCTTTGAAATTTTGAAAATTCTAGATTTTTTTTTTTGTTTCTAATTTTTCCCTGAAATAGTTATTTATGCAACAAGTGTGTAAGATGTGATTGTCGCACTCGCCTTCGACTTGTGCGTCAAAATTCACATCCGTGAAAAAAAGGTGCTTTACGCACGTATTGCATACAAAATTTTTTCTACTACGAATCAAATACATATGTGTAAAAAAATAAATTTAGACAAATACATACTTTACGCACTAGTGCGGAAAATATTTTCACGTTACGCACTGGTGCGTGAAGTAATTTACCAGAAAAATACTAAATTGACAGTGTCGACATCTGTCATTGACAA